CTATCTTGAGTTTTTCCCTTGTTAACATTGAATTCTCCTCAACTAGGTTAAGCCATTGTTCATATAACATCTTGTACTTGACACTCTCTACCTCGTTGCAGCCTTCTGATGCAAGTTCTGATACAGGTTTTAATGCAGGTTCTGCTGCAGGTTTTAATGCAGGTTCTGCTGCAGGTTTTAATGCAGGTTCTGCTGCAGGTTTTAATGCAAGTTCTGCTGCAGGTTCTGTTGCAGGTTCTGCTGCAGGTTCTGTTGCAGGTTTTAAAGCAGGTTCTGTTGCAGTTGCAGTCATATTGCGAGAATATCCACTTCCTGACGTACTTCTTGATTTTCCTGACTTACTTCCTATCCTTCCTGACGTATGTTCTGATGTAATCTGATACAGATCAGATTTCTTCACCCATATTTGACTTCGGAATCCATTCCAGGAAAATTTCTCTTGATGTTTGAGTCTACTTATTCTGTCTCTGAATTTGTAGCAATATGCTTTAATGTGCCCATTCTTTCCACAAAAATAACATCCTGTTCCTTTGGATGCATTACTTTCATATTTGTTTGGATTTGGTGGAGAGACAGTTTCAGCTACAAACTTGATTTGCCCTGTTTGAGATCCTTTTTGTCCAATATATCCCAAACCTCTGTTAGATTTTCCTACTCTTGTAGAAAAGGTCAGCTTGTCCTTCATACTTTCTTGACAGATTTTTGTTTTATCCCTCAGTTCATTCTGCAGTAACTCAACAAGTTCGTCAAGACGACGCTTTTCTTTTACTAAGGCTTGATTTTCTTGTCCAATCTTAATCAGTGTCTCACGTACCTCCTTATAACATTCAGCAAAGTCAACTTCATGTTCTTCTTCAGACTCAGACCCTAACACTTCTTCACCACCTTCAAATTCAGCTTTTCCCAAAAGTGTAACAAAATGATTTACTTCTTCTTCAACATCACTTTCTTCCTCTGAATCTTCTTCTATTCTCTGTATTGATTTTTCTTTTCTTATTTTCTGATTACTAACACATTCATGTTGAGTATGTCCAATACCTTTGCACCCAAAGCACTTTACATCCTTTTTCTTGAATGTAGGACATTCATATTTGAAGTGTCCATACCCTAAGCACTCATGACATTGCATATTTGCCTTCTTAATAGTTTTACCTTCTTCTGGATATTTTTTGCTTGAGCTGAACCTCCTCTGTCCTTGTTCTTCTTCTACCTTCCTTAATAGTTGATCAAGTCTTTGAAACAACAAACTTTTAGGATCATCTTCTTCTACCTCTTGAGTTTTCCTTTCAAGAGAAGTTAATGCCAAATCCTTTGGATTTTTCACTTTCTTCACACCCTCTAGTTCCATCTCATGAGCTTGAAGCATTCCGACCACATCTCCAAAGCTAAGGTCTTCCGTGTTATGTGACACACTTAAGGCAGTTTTGTATGCCATGAATCTTGAAGGTAAACATCGTAGAAACTTCTTCACTAGTTTCTTATCTTTGTACTTCTTTCCAAGTGTCAATGCTTCTTGAGCTAGAGAACTTATCTTTGAACTAAAATCAGAAATTGAATCACGTTCTTCCATCTTTAGATTTTCGAATCTTGAGGCTAACATGTCTTTCCTTGAGTTCTTCACCTTTGTGGTTCCTTCAAAGTGATTTTGCAAGATATCCCAAGCTTCTTTTGCTGTTTCACATCCCTGAATTAGTTCGAACTGGTTTCTTCCAACATTAATGTGAATAGCGGTGAGTGCCTTTGCGTTGTACTTTGATTTTTTCAATTCATCATTAGTCCAGTCCTTCTCCGGTTTAGCAACCTCGGCTCCTGATTCATCCTTGATTTTTGGTTCTTCCCACTTTTCCAATATGGCTTTCCAAGCATAGACATCAATGCCTCTTATAACCGCCTTCATCCTTGATTTCCAAAAACCATAGTTTCCATCATTCAATATTACTCTTGACCCGATGTCAAGTCCATGATAGCTCTCCATCTTCTCCACAAGATCTCACCTGTATGCAATCCTCACAAGTGACCGC